TACAATTCAGTTCATGGGCTATTCTCACCCAGTATTAAATCTCCTTGAGGTACACACCGCACCTCTCCGTTCTTTTGCATCACCCACCAAGTGTATCCAGGTCCCTGAGCGAAAACAATCCCACGAATAGGTTTGCCTTTTCCTGAGGCAGGAGTAGCCCAGACTGTTTTACCCAGCATATTTTTTACATGCACTACAGGAACTTTATCCCCATCTACAGTACGTAACAGGTTTGATTGGGCAGGTCCAGCTCGGTTGGTAGATCCCCTAGTATTGGCTAACCAGGTGGCCTTTGCCAAATGCGTATCCCAGTTTTTGAACGTCCCAGCGCCCATTGCTTTCAAGGTAGTCTTTAACAGGCCATTGTATCGTTCAACTTTCCCGGAGGCTGGTGCATGATAGGGGATGTGATACACCCATTCAATACCATGTTCTTTGGCCCAAGTGTCTATAAGGTTGTTTCGGAAGTGAGTCCCATTGTCTGATTCTATTCTTTCTGGGGTGCCATGTCACCACAGGACTCGCTTTTCAAGGCCCAGGATGGTGTTCCAGGCGGTGGCATGAGGCACAGGATATGTTTCCAGCCATCCAGGTGGTTGCTTCCACCATTGTAAGTACGTGGCGCTTGCCATTGCGAGTTTGAGGGAGTGTGATGTAATCAATCTGCCAGGCCTCTCCATATTTATATTTCAGCCATCGTCCTCCATACCAAAGAGGCTTTGACCGTTTGGCTTGCTTGATTGCAGCACATGTTTCACAGTCATGAATAACCTGTGCTATAGCGTCCATGATCAAGTCCACCCCTCGATCACGAGCCCATCTGTATGTTGCATCTCTACCTTGATGGCCTGAGGTGTCATGGGCCCATCGGGCTATAAATAATTCACCTTTATGCTGCCAATCCAGGTCCACCTGAGCTACTTCAATCTTAGCAGCCTGATCCACCTGCTGGTTGTTTTGATGTTCTTCAGTAGCCCGATTCTTGGGCACATGAGCATCTACGTGGCGTACTTTCACAGCCAGGTTCTCTACCCGAGCAGCAATATCTTGCCACAATGCAGCAGCCCAGATGGGTTTGCCCCTACGCTGCCAGTTGTTTTGCTTCCATTACTGTAACCATCCCCACAGGGCATTTGCTACCATCCATGAATCGGTGTAGAGATAGAGAACTGGCCATTTTTCTCGTTCAGCAATGTCTAAAGCCAGCTGAATGGCTTTCACTTCTGCAAACTGACTCGATTCACCTTCTCCCTCAGCAGCTTCTGCAACTCGTCGCGTAGGACTCCATACAGCAGCCTTCCATCTCCGATGCTTCCCCACAATACGACAGGACCCATCAGTGAACAGGGCATATTTCTTTTCATTCTCTAGGCAACTGGTTGTACAGTGGGGCTTCTTCAGCACGACCCACCTCCTTCCTCTGATGATATCCCAAAGTATTTGCCTTCTGGCCAGTCCTTGATCACTTCCAATATTCCTGGGCGACTGAGGTTTCCTATTCGAGCCCGCTGAGTAATCAGTGCAACCCACTTGCTCCATGTAGCATCAGTTGCATGATGCGTAGAGGGGACCCTTCCCTTGAACATCCAGCCTAGTACCGGCAATCAGGGGTGCTAGGAGGAGCTGCGCTTCAGTACCGACCACCTCCGAAGCAGATCGAACTCCTTCATATGCTGCCAATATCTCCTTTTCAGTTGGAGTATAGCGGGCCTCAGATCCTCTGTATCCCCGACTCCAAAACCCCAGGGGCCGACCTCAAGTTTCCCCAGGTTCTTTCTGCCAGAGGCTCCAGGTGGGGCCGTTCTCCCCGGCTGCAGTGTAGAGCACATTCTTTACATCTGGTCCTGTTCGAACTGGCCCAAGAGCTACTGCATGGACTATTTCCTGCTTGATTTGTTCAAAGGCTTGTCGTTGTTCAGGGCCCCATTCAAACTCATTCTTCTTACGGGTTACTTGGTAGAGTGGGTTTACAATCAGACTGTAATTTGGGATGTGCATTCTCCAAAACCCCTACAACACCTAGGAAAGTCTGTGTTTCTTTTTTGTTAGTTGGTGGAGACATAGCTGTTATTTTGTTGATCACATCCATTGGGATTTAACGACGTCCATCTTGCCATTTTATTCCTAAAAACTGGATCTCTCGTGCAGGTCCTTTGACTTTATTTTGTTTTATGGCAAAACCGGCTTTCAGAAGGATTTGGACTATTTTCTTCCCTTTCTCGAAAACTTCCTCTGCTGTGTCACCCCACACAATAATGTCATCGATGTACTGCAGATGTTCAGGAGCTTCCCCCTGCTCTAGCGCAGACTGGATCAGCCCATGGCAAATGGTAGGGCTGTGTTTCCACCCCTGGGGCAGCCTATTCCAAGTATATTGGACTCCCCTCCAAGTGAAGGCAAATTGTGGCCTGCACTCTGCTGCTAGAGGGATGGAGAAAAATGCATTAGCGATATCAATTGTGGCGTACCACTTGGCTGCCCTCGATTCAAGTTCATACTGAAGTTCCAGCATGTCCGGCACTGCAGCACTCAGAGGTGGCGTGACTTCATTCAGGCCGCGATAGTCCACTGTTAGTCTCCACTCACCATTAGACTTTCGCACTGGCCATATGGGACTATTGAAAGGTGAATGGGTCTTGCTGATCACTCCTTGGCTCTCCAATTGACGAATTAGCTTATGGATGGGAATCAGGGAGTCTCGGTTAGTGCGATATTGCCGCCGGTGCACAGTTGTGGTAGCGATTGGCACTTGCTGTTCTTCGACCCTCAAATCAAAATTACTGCTAGGCTGTAGTGAAGAAAAAACTATTTGCATCCAAAGCAAAATGCTTCAAATAACTTCAGTGCTGCCCTAACTCACATAATTTCTTGTGATAACTTGATCTTCCTGGGCTTATAAGGATTGCTTTAGGAAAGATTTTGCTGAACTGTGACACCATCTGTCCTCAAGGTCTCTGCATATATGGCTAATCTTTTTTCTGCGTTTGTCTGAGAAAACATTCTCTTCCTCTTTGAGGCTGTGATGAAAGAAACTTCTTGTTAGGGTGTTCATTTTGTTTGTTTGTTTGTTTTGTTTATTTTATTTATTTTTTTTTCTCCTGCAAATTGATTTTTCAATTTTCCAGAGTGATATTCTTTTGTGGTACATTCGTGACATGAGCTATCATGATTTTATGTATTTGTTACTCAACATTCCCAATGTTTTTCCATACCAAGATCAATTGAGAGGTAGGCCAGCAACAGCCCTAGAGGGATGGCAAGCCACAGGGAGTGACGTTTAAACCAAGAAGAACTCTTAAGAATTAAAACAAAAATTATTAATAATAATAATATGAAGGGCAGTATAGAGAATAGAAGAAAGAAAGAAAAAACTATCCAAAAGATTGGTCTATTTTTATTTATTTTAATGAGATTTAGATTTCTCAGCTCCAGAGTAATTCTGAAAGTGAAACCCACTTCCAGGTCATCCAGGCACACTGGCTGTAGTTTCTTTTACTTATAATCATTTTATAAGTAAATATTTTTTCTTAATGTCCACCTTTTTTTTTTTTTTTTTTTTTCCTGGATACGGTACCAGATACTTCACTCCCTCTGAATTTTGAAATGGCTGTTAAATGTCATTTTATAAAGTTAAATTATGAAAAACCTAAGCATTGAGATTTTTTTTCCTAGCTATTTCAGTGTCATAATGACAAACATTTTCTGAAGATTATCAGGTGAACTCAGGAATAGAAAAGACTTTCCCTTTGAGGTATTTTGGTAACCAGAAGTAACATTCTCAATCACTGTCTCCAAAAACAGCATAACTGTAGTTTGCAGATATCATTCCCACTTTCCCTAGCAGTACTTTTTAATTATATTTTTTAATTATATTTACTAGGTTATTGAATGAGAATTTTAAATAGAGTAGAATGAGCTTATTTTGCAATTGCAAGCACATTTATTGAGATGAAATCTTTTTTAATACCATGAATAATTTTTCCACTTTTATGAAGTGACCCCAGTGTCATGACCTCATATGTTTGCAAATGAAGCAGTGTATCCAGAGGGTAAGAATGATGTTTATTGTTTTTCAGCAAGTTTATAAGGGGATATTTATAATTGAAACCTGGTATATGTAATTTCTTTAAAGTTGACCTAAGTGTAAAATTTCTAGTGGTTCTTAGATGCCAGCCTCAGCAGCTGAGGAAAGTAGTGGAAATGAGAGTGCAGTATCATCTAATTTAGCAGACTGTCAATAACAGAGATGATCCTATTTTCTCCTTATCCTAAGCTGTGTCTTCCAACTGCTATATATCAGATGTAGTTGTAGCAGCTTGCAGGATCAGTTGTATCTACTCATTCATCCAATGAAAAACTTTGGGGCAGGATGGGAAGGGAACAGAGGGAAGGATGCTTAACTCTCCATTTTTAATTTTTATATCCGGGGGGGGGGGGGACGGGGGGGACAGGGGGGATGACGACAACAACAACAAAAAAACCTTTGGTAATTAATTAGCTAAATTAAAATATAACTACTTTAATATATAATCTAGTTTAACTGTTCACTATTATGCAATAAATGCACTGCTCTAGAGGATCTGAACAATGATTTTATGACCTAAAATTTAAGGAGAAAATGAGAAAGTGCAGTCTTTAATTAATTCAATATGGACACAAACCAGCTCACTGCAGTGGGATCTATGAGACAGAGGATATTAGACAGATGCACTTTAAGCTTCAAACTTGCAAGTTCTTCTGGATTGTGTGGTGGTCAGGTTACTTTGCAGAACTCCTCAGATAATGGCAAAGATAGGAAAATATTCCCAAGTTCCATATGTGCAGAAAAAATGAGGGCTTTAAGTCCTTTCAGAGCTTTAAATGTTTCCTTAGAATATGAAGAAAATTATTCAAAGTTATCTTTATATATTCTGAAATTTTGTATTGTCTAACTATGGTAATTGATAAAGTAATGTTTCAGATACTACTTCTATAATCTGACTAAAGTTACTATTTTTTAGGAATGAAAGCAAACCAGTGGAAGTTCTTTTGTTTTCCATTCCCCATTCTATTGGTGAAGGTATCCTTTTATGTGTATTATCTATATTCATAACATGTTAGATGTTCTGAACTTCTGAAAACTTGAGGCCAGCATTCAGTCATTAAGAAGCTATGGTTTAAGAATTTATCAGGAAAGTTTTGAAAATCTGGAGAATGCTATTATCCTACTCCAACCATCTGTACTTTGCAAATATTCCTTGAAGCTATTTCCACTACATCTTAAAAGTAAATTATTGGAGAAATAGATCATAGCATGAAATAGCTTCCTTATGAGGAATGGCTCTCAAACCTGGAAAAAGAAATAGAAAAAGAAATAATGAGCTATAAAGTTAGGAGGGGAAACATTAAACACATTACTCCAAATCGCTTTTAAACACACTTGAACTGTGAAGATCTCAGTTGGGCGAATCTAATGTATAGATAGATCAGAGAAAGGCTATACCAAGTAATGAAAGATATATCCATCAGAGATCATTAAATGCAGTGATCAAGGTCTCACCTCAGAGTCTTTAGAGCTGGGAAAATAGCATTCTGTACTTGTCCTATTTTATTATTTCCCTAATCAAGTAGTACTGACGGTTGGCAGGACAGGATGTGCTGCTTGACAGATCTTCGGTTCTTGAATTCTTAAAATTTATTGATGAGAGCATTATAATGGTAATGCTTTCGTTCTGTGTTTCCAGAGTTGATTCAGAATTCTTTGAGGGGACTTCTACTTTGGTTTGATAAATCCATAAAATCTAAAATTTAAAGTTTATTTAAAATCCACTTTTAAACAAAGCCCATGCACCCGTAACTGAATTTGTCCCTTTTTCTGGGGATGTTACCCAGAAATGTTCCTGTTGTGAGTTTGTTTTAATCTTTCTGAAGCTTTTGTCTCTGGTACATCTTAGAGTGCATCAAAGAAATACATGCAGCCTGCAATACTTGCCAGTGACCTTCTTTATGGACATTTTGGAAGAAGCTACAAACCAAATTGCTCTGGCCATATAAGGCCACTTCTGCCACATGTACTTTTATTAAGGATTGACAGAAAACAGTGTCTGGGAACAGTTTTCAGCCACCCAAACAATTTCTGCAACTTGCAGCTTTGTCTATCCCCCACCCTCTCACCAAGGATTGGATCTCCTGTCTATATTGAATCTTCTGTACCAGGTATGTACTATAGACCTGTAATGTGAGCAAAGGAGTCCTCATGTTCAGATTTTCTCTGTGCATGTAGCAAGCTGTTTAGGCTATTCAGCTGGAAGCATTGGAGATCACTGGACCACACAGAGATTATATTTTTAGCTTAGCTGCTATGACACATTATTTTTAACTATTGGGGTGTGAGATAATGTCAGAACAGGATTCTACCCTCCAGGGTATCGTGTATCACATTACTGATAAGCCCTTCACCTACAGAAATATCAGCTATTTGAGAATGACATGATCTTTCTCCTTAGTCTCTGTCACAGAAGAAAAAAAAAAAAAAAAGAAAAAGTAAAACAAGTGTTTATAACAATAATAGAACTGTCAAAAATGGGGGGGGGGGGGGGGGAAGGCGAGAGGTGAGCCTTTTATAAACTTCTTGATTTTTATTTCAGATGAGAGAATATTCTGAAATGACACAATTCCATTTGTAGGGTGTGCCTTGTTTCTATCCAACTTTTTGTTTATATAAATATATATATCGTAGCGTTGTTTGAAGCTTTTGCTTCTTAATTTTGTTATAGTTATATGCATTATAGGTATATGCATGAGGCATTAAAGAGAAAACATTGGAAAGTAGCGTATAAAAATGCAGTGTTTGTGTTTTCCAGATTTTAGAAACATTACAGCGATGTAATACAAACAGAATAGTGTAATTGATTTACCAACTTTACCAACTCAAAATAGTTTTTATTTTTCAAACTTTTTTTTACTGCAATGAAAACTTCATCAAATTCTATTCCACCATTTTTTCTACTTTTGAGAAGAAAGAAGTGGAAATATTGTTTTAGTCTAGTTTAAAGTGGCTTCAATAGAAAAAGGGAGAATTATTATTATTTTTTTTTTTTTAGAGTTATGATCTGTACATATTTGTGCATGAGAGCATTAACATTCTCTTCTCTTTTGTTTGTCACAGTAATGATCCCTGAACTCAGCCAAGCATAAGATCTTCATCCATGGTTGGCCTTTTGCTGTAGGGAAAAAGAGGCTTTGCCAAGGCATTACCACAGTTATTCTTTGGCCATGCATCTAGAATTCATAACAGAGACTGGATAAATGTGAGGGCTCTGCTTCCATGTGCTTGAGCACTTATATTTTATCAAAAGAATACTCTTTAAAGCTTTGTGTTGCATCTTTGCTCTAAGCTACCTTCTGACCATAGGGTTTCAGAACATTGTTTCTCTGTTGGAATAGATATTTGAGACAAAATTTCATCTGCATTTGCTTTGAACCTTTTCTTAGAACGCTTTCTTAACACCTTTTTCAATTAGGTTACTTACTGTTTGATAACGTAGTATTAGTGATTAATGTACTTTAAAGATTTTGACATAATTTTATGTCATCCTTTCTATATATTTCAATATATTTTGAAATAGTAAGGAATGTCTACAAGTTTAAAAACTAGCTTACTACTTGAGGAGCATAAATGGGTGTTATCACCTCTCAGCTGATTTCATAATCAACGTTTTTCATCAGTGACCCGGCATAGATACCAGAGGTTATTATTCAAAGGTTGATAGCTGCACACAGAGCATAATAAAAATTTTGGATGTATGACAAATACTAAGGATAACAAATCGCTAAATTATAACACAATATAGATCAAACATATTAAAAAAAAAAAGTCATAAAAAGTACTTAAACTAATTTATCTAGGTATACAAACCATTGACCAAGCAGCAGTGTAAGGGATGTTATCATGAAGGAAAAGAGTTTTTAGAAAAGAGTTACAAATCATAACGGATAACCTGAGCTAGCAGATTAAGACAATACATGCTATCCTGTAATATATTTAAAACAAACAAACAAAATCCCTAACTTTCAATTTCATTTGGGATAGATGTCCTGACAGAAATACTGTAGCTTTCCTTCCATTTCTGCTCCTAAAAGAAGAACAATAAGTTGAAAAGAATTTTGAAGTGAAACTGTGTACCTGCACAGTGGTTTGAAAATATTTTAAAAATGAGGAGCTCAGTTTGTTTCTTGTATTAGAGGGGGGACACTTACTTGTTCTTTAGTTCTACCTTCAAACTTAGTGAACTTTGAGAGATAATTCTCCATCTTGTCAAGAAAAAGAATGCCCGTAGAAGTCCTTATGCGAGACTGATGCAAGTGCTTTCAACAAGGAAAAGACTTCATATACTTATGTAAATACATTGGCTATGCCAACCCTTAAAGTTTTTTTTTTTAATTGAGAAGCTTGCCATTTAAAATTCTTTGAGCTCTCAGTCTGTGTCGAAAGTCTTTACTAAACAAAAAAAAAAAAAAAACAAAAAAAAAAACTTTACTGTTTTTAATTGCCTCAGTTTTCTCTTAAACATGACCCCATTTAAAAACCAGTGTCAGCTATGAAAATTGTTTACCTTTCCTTCAGGTGCAAAGGAGTAAGTTTCTCCAGATCTGAAATGCAGGTACCGCTCCCCACCTGAAATCATTGCTGTGAACTCCTTAGCTTGTAGTCTTCTATTAAGTGACATAATTTAAGCACATGCTTTACGTGATACAACTCCTTAAAATGCATAATATTGAGGAATCTGACATTATTTTAAAATGAAGTCTACAGCCATCGTGTTGTACTGCCTATGCAGTACACTCTTCTGCCTACATCTTCTTGTAAATCTACGAAATAACATACTTTTCTATAAACACAGTTCATGATCAGTTTATTTCCTGATTTGTGTTCCCCTTACCACTAAACCTGCTGTGTTACATTATGTGCAGTGCTACCATTAGATTTTATAGGATGCTTAGGTGAAACTATTCACCCAGATTCAGTCTCTTCACGTATTTTTCTCTTTGCATTTATTTCTATAGAGGAAATAAAATGGCACTTAGAAGTTAATTTTAAAAAATGAAGATCAAGTATACTTATAGAAATAAGAAAAATGCGGTAATAACGTAATAACTGTGATGAGTTCTTTGGACTACTACTACTTTTTTTTTTTTTTTACAACTATCTTTTCCCAGGATTTCTAGGTTTAAAAATATAATCTAGATTATAAATGGTGCTAAAGCTAAATGTTAATTGATAGATTTTTCTGTCTGATTATATGTCTGCTTATTTAAAGAGAACACCCTCTAAAAATATTTAAACTTTAACCTGACACCTGGCCTAATGTACCTGCCAGACTTTTTTTTTTTTTTTCTGTTTCTACCTGTACTGGTTTAGAATGTCAAATAGCTTAGGAAATCATTAATTTTATTTAAAGTAGCATCATTCCTTTATCTGTAAAAATAATTCTGATGCTTTGTCATCTTGATGGAAAAGGTTTGGGTTTTGTGCTTTTTTTTCCCCCTGTTTTTGTGGGATAGTGTTGTTTTTATGTCTTGACTATATTTGCAAGCATGCTATGTGTTTCAGTGCAAAAAGTTCCAAAACAGTTGGTGGTGATTCCTGTTTGCTACAAAATGTACTCCAAAATTAGGACTGTAAAATTGCTCATAAAAGATACTCTCTGTAAATTGCAAATATCTAATCTTGATGCAAAGCTTGTTAAATTACCTAGTGAATAAGTAGCATACTTCAACTGAACAGCACAAAGCATTTCTGGTAAGCTCGTATAATGTGATGGGTTTAAACTGGAAAAATACCCAACTGGAAGATTTATGACACATTAAATTTCAAAGGATATACATCAAAGGAGACTTTGGGTCCTTATTTTACATTTTAGGAATTGAGTTGGCTTTACCCTCTAAATAATTAATACCACTAAGAATTTAACATATGAAATGTTAAATAACAGTTGGCGGTAGTAATGTATTGTTTTGCAGCTAAGAGCACGTTATTCTAGCAACTGGACTTCAAAAAGCATAGTAAAAAAAATTGTATCATCACTTGATCTATTATTATGGGAAAAAGTGACAGATCAAACTCCTGGGTCTCATCACGTAGGTGCTTCTGTGCTGTCAGCCCAGAAAGGTAAAGGCTGCTTCAAATCTGCCTTCTGTTTGTGTGAGCCTTCCCAATGTTCAAAGCCTGCTCCAAGTACACCAGTGAACTGCCTTGCCCTGCAGACTGGCAAGTGGCCAGTACCAAATGCTTCACAGGATGCATTCAGGAAGCCTGTTAATGAATACTCAGTTATTGAAATCCTACCTCTGACTTTCTTTTCTTCAAATCTCTGTTACTAATGACTGGTTTTTATTTTGAATCACAGGGATTTAGTACTGTATTGTGGCATTTTGTTGTGCAGATAAAATTAAAGCTTGAAGAAAAAATGTTTGCTTCTGCTTCTGACTTTCATTTTCATATCAGGAGACAGCTATTTGGGGCTCTCACTTTTTTATGCTCTAGTTTTAGCTTTTATCTCTGCCATGTTTCACCTTACTCATGTCATTTCTAAATATTTTGTTCAACCTTTCTTTACATGCAAGGTTTTCATTTCTTTAGTCTTTCTTTGTCCAGTTTCTGAACTTGTTCCACTTCTGCATTATTTTAATCTCACAGGAAGCAACGCTTTTCAAAAGGTTATATCTCTTCTGTAGTAGTAAATGGGCACAGATACTTCCAATGGAATTTTTGGTTACAAGGACACAGAAATATTGATAGAAGGGACCTCTGGAATTCCTGTAGCCCAGCCTCTGAGTAAAGTGTTATGAACACCAGGCAGGTTCAGCTGGTGTCCTGACAACCTCCAAGGGTGAAGCTGCTATAGTCACTCAGTATCACACTTCCACATTGTCCTCCTCTAGTAGAAAAATACATTTTCATGATGTTCAGCCTGAGGCTCACAGGTTGTAATTTGTGATGACAAATATTTGTTATGTTGCTATTGCTGAAGCTCAGCATCTTCATAACTGCTCTTTGGGGAGTTAAAATCTGTGCTATATCTCTCCTTAGCCATCTCTTCACCAGGCTGAACAGTTTCAGCTCCCTCAACATTATTTTATAAATCCTGTGAGCTAGGCTTCTGACCATGTTAGCAGCCCCATACAAGATTTTCTTTGGTTTTAAACATCAGTCTTGATCTGGTGCAAATATAAAGAACAAAACTGGTCATGTATTCCAGATGTGGGTTTGTCAGGACCAAGTAGAGGGGACTAGGGGTTTCCTTCAGTCTGCTGGTGGCCTTCTTGCTAGTATCACACAATGTGTATTTGCTTTATCCACAGAGAGAGCATGCTGTTGGCTCATGCTCAACCTGCTGTAACCTCCAGTCCTTTTCAGCACAGCTGGTAGGTACTCATAGGTAAACACCTAAGGTATATGAGCACCCGCCTGTGCTCATGCATGTTATTCTTACCCAGTGCACAACTACACATTTCTCAGCACCAACTGTGAGATTTTTGTTGTCCCCATCATCAAGTTTCCTAAACAAGCCCTGCTGTTCAGGATTATAAACTTCTCCTCCTCATTTAGCATCATCTGCAGATTTGCTGTGGGTGTGTTCTGTCTCCTCATCCAGCTCTTGAACAAAACTTTGAGCAGTATGGGACTCAACATTGCCTGGGGCACTCTGTTTGGAGCCAGCTACAATCTGTACAGCAAACTTCTACCTACTTCCCAGGTGGCCCAACTAACAGCATCTTCCTCTTGTTCATGCTTTCTCTGTTCATACAGGAGAGCACTGTGGGAAATGGTGTCAAAAGTAGTTTCCAACATGATCTTTGTCTCCTCATGTTAAGGGTTTTCCTTTCTTAATCTAAAGTAAATGGCCTAATTGCAAAACTGTTAACTTTGCATAGAGACTTTAGTGTTTTCTTCTCTTTTTCTGAAGTTAAACTCTCAGTTTCTAAATAGTTTCAGTCAGGGCTTAATTTTTTCAGTCAGAATAGGGATGAACCAGGTAAGCATATATCTTTAGCAAAATGCAGTGAAGGTGATAAATGCATGTGTGTGTATTAGAATTTAATGCTTTAGACAAGCTTGTCAAAAATTCGATATCAAAAGTGATGAAGCAGTGGAGGGGAAATAATTCTGAATGAAGCTGAGTTCTGAAGCTGGAGGCAGCATACACTGCAAGAAAAAGAGGGCTGTGTTATCAAAGCTTTATTCTGTAACATACCCATTTCCTTATAGAAGTCTCTTGCTGACCACTTTGAGCATGAGGACTTTTAACACCCAGGCTGTTGCATTTACTGAACTATTTCTGCAAGTATATGTGTCGCAGAGGTATTATTAGCCACCCTGAAATTACCTTCTGCTCTTACTGTTTGTGTAAAGTTGACTGAAGTGTTTTCCTAGGGAGTATGGAGATTGAGTATAGCTCAATATTATAACAAACTTCATGTTAATTGTTAACACCAGGCTCTATAAGCTAGGTAAGTGTTGTACAGTTCTTTATATTTTAAGTTGCTATTAACATCAACCGAAAATAATTAACAAAATATTCCAAACATGCATTAATGTAAAAGAAAATGTTGTAATGGAATTAATAATGACTAATGTGTAACATGTAGGATTCATTTAATTATTGTTTTCATAAGAGGCATAATATGAGCCTCACTTCTGATACAGATAGGGATAAGGACTATTTCAAACCAAAATAAAAAACTCTTTGCTTAAAATTCCATTGATTATCTTCAAAGATAGTAAGGAGAAATACAGGAATAAGGTCTCCTGGAGACCCTTACATGTAAGAGGCCTCAAATACAACCAAAATCAATCCAACCAGAGTTTGGAAA